AAGGTAAGGAGAGGTGGTACCTCAGAGGTGGTCCATACTAAGTTTACGGTAGTCTTAAATTTTTATATGAGAATTGCAGTCGGTTTTGTTTTTTGCTTAAAAATTACTTGTATAATGTATTAATCATGTATTAATCATTATACGGCTTCCCAATAGCTGGTTTTTCGAATTAGGAATTTTGCGAATGGTGAAATTTGTACATCCACGGAAGCGAATGGGGATAAATGCATTATGTATTGAAAAAAACTAAAAAAAAAATACTTACAATGGGGGAAAAATATATATAAAACTTCACCCGGATACACGGGAAAAACGGTGAATCCTATTAGATGAGATGGCATACAAATTTTTATTGCAGTTCATACCCACATTTTTTGCAGGCATTGAAGTAAAACGTGCTAAAATCTTGCAATCATTTTTTACAAATCACACACTGTACCCAGCCATCTATTTCTTTAACTCCTTTTAGGCTTTGATACCGATGGAACAAGACAGACATCGTCTAGAGCTTTAGCTAGTGTGATGCTAGAAGGTTCTGTGGCTTCAAATAAAGGGTCCACTAGCTCCTCTAAGTAGAAACGTAAGAATATTAAATATCTTAATACCCATTTCTATTTATTCGACCATTTGTGCAATAACATATTTTGGAATTGCAGTCGCATTAAAAGGCTCAATATCACTACCCATAAAACCTGATATTAAATTTTTCGATGCAGCATAATTTCTCCAGATCTAAAATAGTTTGTAATTCACCAAACATTTATTATTAGAAAAGGTTCGTAAAAGGGTGGTATGGCATATGGAAAAGAGGGATGTGATACATCTGATATCGCTAGCTCTGGCACAATTTACTATCATCACTGACAAAACTTGTTGAAATGAGGTATCTGAGCGGATTGGGGTGAGATTTTTTGAGACTGCCCCATAACACCGGTGAATCCTTTCACACGAGCTTATATTACTATAATTTCGAGCTTTGGTTGCTGGATTGTTCAGATATGAGATTTTGATTTTACTGAGAGTTTCTAAAAGCTAGAAACGCGATGACTAAAGGTGTTAGGGTTATACGACTTATTTCATTTATTTATTTCATGTATTCATAAACAAAGGGTCACATTAGTAGGAGTAGATTTGTGCCCTCTTTAGTACTAGGATTGGTACTTATCGGAAACCTTAGGATATTTTCATTTTCAACGCGGTCCGATAAACTTACTTAACTTTGTACTCACTCAGCCAAAATATCCTAACAAAATATCCTAACAGAGTTGGTACAGTTCATGATAAGATAAATTTATGGCCATCGATTTGTTTAAAATATTTCAAAAACACTAACTATCAATATTTTATTTGAAATTTCAGCCCAAAACGGCACAGAGTCCTGCATCTGGGGATGCCACAATTATCACATTTTCTGCAGTGAAAATTGCCAAGTGCATTTCGGCCCACATTTGCACAAGGACGCTACTCTTATTTACTATACCAGTAAAAGTTAAGAAGAAAAAAAAAAATGATTTTCGTCTCGCCTAAGAAACCGCTGCATATAAAACAACAACAACAAAATTGTGCACTCTTCGAAATAAGTTTAAAACGAAGCATTTGCGATGCCTACAAGTAAGGGTATAATTTAGCTTGGTTCTTGAAGAAAAAATTTGCATCAAATGCAGCGGGGGGTATTGAACAAATTTAACATGTAATAAATACTTATTACAAAATGTTTACGCTCGAGAAAATAGTTTTCAAATTGGACACAATTTGTTACAAACAATTTAAACAGTTGGCTCTCGATTACACTCGCCCACTTTTGCGCAGTTACAGCAACAATAAAACACTCAAAATGGTTTGTATTTACCACTAGAGGATAACCAGTTGCATATCAGTCAATTTTTTTTGTTGCATTTTTTGTAGATTTAGCGCTAAAAATCAATAGACTGATAATTCAGTTAATACTTAACGTTACCATATGGTGCATCCATATCTCTGCGATATCAATCGAAATTTTTTTCACGGGGTGCACGCCATTCTTACTTTTATGATTTACTGCATTCTAACCGCCTGTTCACGCTGATAAGCTATCGCTAATAGGTATACATACATTTCAATTTACTGTGAGCTGTGATACATACAAATATATGCACTTATGGATATTATATAAGGATTTACATGCATTTCACATATATAGTTATGTTTGAAAATGTTTTTTTTAGACCGTAAAATGTAATAGTCTTCTTAAGTTTCCCCCCCGAAATCGCAACAAGAAGATTAATAATCAATTATTTACCAATAAATTCTATCATTTCCGTTTAAAAGAAATGATTCTAATTATTTAAGCAGAGTAAATAAAAAATAACAAAATTTTTAACTAAAGATTTATTTTTCAATGTTGAAATTTGATGGCCTCTTTTAAACAATGACCAGTTCCGAGGGCTGTTCTAAACATGGTATTAAATCGCGTATTTTTTAAAATGTAAATATACATAGCATATATGTACATACACAGCTATCAATTTTGGTGAAGGGGCCCTATGTGGGAGAAAAATAACGGAGTATTTCCGAAAAAAAGTTATGTAGGGCCTTTTGCATTGACATACATATGTGTGTACATATTTTTTAAGCATAAGTTAACTAATACGAAAGAATATTGGTTTCAACGTCTCAGCGATCGATTAGGTCCCACTTACAATTTATAGGCTCAAAACAATTTCGCATGCATAGCGTCTCTCTAAAAGAATATGGCATTCATCGACTTTATCTCCGTTATATGTATGTATATTAGGTTGGTCTTTAAAAATATCAACATTTAAATTTTATTCCATGTATAAAATAAAAAAAACATGCACTAAAATATCTAAATTTAAAAAAAGTTTTCAACAAATCGCTACCAGAATTTTTGCAAAAATTTAAATTTGTTTTTAAAAATAGCAAAAATTCAATCTTATACATTTTTTCAAATCCTGATAGCGACCCCTAAAAATTTGTTTGAAATGTGGTTTCTTGGATGTCTTAATTTTATACGTAGAACAACTTAAAGGGGTGCCCCATGATGTTTACATTTTTAAAGACCATCCTAATGTATATTTCATCCACTTGAAACCACAGTCATCTAAGGTTCTAATTTAGCTGTGATAGGTTTGCTTCATTGGCGGTAGAAAAATTCACAAATGAGTTCCCGTTATTCGTATTCGCATTTGCATTACCAGGTTCGCCTACGTAACCGTATTCGTTTTAGGCGAGGTGTTCGCGTATGTGTTCGCCCGCGTGTTCGTCCTTAGTTCGCATTCGTATTCGGGTTCTTATTCACCTTAGCATTCACTTTCGTGTTAGTCTTCGTATTTGTCTTCCTGTTCGTAATGGTCCTGTTCTCCGCTTTGTACACGCCTTCTTATTCGTATTCATCTTCAACTTCGTATTCGTCCTTGCTTTTGGCTTAATTTTAAACCTCTGATAATTTGCTCTAAATGTTATGGAAGGCGGAAAAAGAGAAGGTTAAAATAGATGCACTTCCGTTACATCGCAAGAGTCATACGGTTTTCATCACAATTTTCCCGTTCACTACCCCCTCTAAAGAGGTATCACTTTTTTAAAATAAAAATTAAAATAAAAATTCTAAAAACAGAAACAAAAAAAATTGTTACAAAAAATTACCTATAGTAGTCGAATTGTTAAAAACAGAAATATATATTTTTTATTATGTAGATGTGTTCAAAAAATAGTGTGATTCACCGCTTTGAGAAATATATATGTATGTTTAGCTGGAAAAAGATATATATTTAAGAGAATCGGCCGAAAACTATTTATCGATAGCTTATAGTGAAAAGATGGTAAGTTGAGTTTTTTTTTTTTTAGGAGAGAGAATAAAAGCCTTCCTAACTCATTTTCTTCAATCAGTTATTTTGCAAAGACCCTAATGCAAGTTTCAAGCTAAAAGAACTTCAAACAAATCGATTTCCACAACGTTGATGACAAGCTTTTGTAGCTGTAGGGGTATTCTCGAAGTATTGCAAAGGCATTGTGCACAGATTGCATGAAAAAAACCCGGTTTTTCTAGGAGACAGCCTTGCAAACCGTGCAGCATGCAAGGGCATTGCAAGAGTTCGACAATACCCCTTATTTAATGCAATTGATTGCAGGAAAGATAGCAACGCCCGTTCTACCACAACGCTTTTTTTATCATTTAATGCGCAAGTAAATGCAGTTTTTAAATTTGGAATTTCACCCGTTTGTGAAATATGCATACACAAATGTATGTATGTATCTAAATACATATGTACGTTCACATGTAACAATTGCAAACGCCGTATTGTTGTCTAAAGTGTATTTCCCCCGTCTGTTTTCTAAATATACATTCATTCGTATCGATGTACATTAGACCGTACCAGAAAAAAAGTTCGCCGTACACCCCTGAATCTACATACATACTTATATTACATATTTTTGAAAGGCAATTTCGAATGTTTTTTGAATTGTTGAATTTTTTTTTTTTGTTGCAAAGTTCATTGACATCGATAATCCCGTCCTAGTACTTACCCACTAGATCAAAGTTCTTATTACCCGAAAATGTCAGTAAATTAAAAATCATTAGACTTTTGCTAAGGAAATTGTTTTGTTTTCCAGTAGAACTATTTAAAAAAATTTTATTGCCGACCCTTACTTAGGGTTTACACCGGACAATATTGTCAAGACAATTATGTCAAAATGATTTGTTTGTTGTAAACACGGCGAATTCATATTACAACAAACACATAATTTTGACTTAATTATCTTGACAATATTGTCCGGTGTAAACCCTAAGTTACTTTTGACCAAACATTTTTTTTTTCGAAGTTGACTTGCAAAAATGCTTCGACTTAGGGGGTACGACGAACTTTTTTTTGCTTGTTTGTAAGGTGGTACGTTCTAATGTGAATATGTACATATGTCAAACTTAGCAGTTTTCTTCGATGTTTTATATATAAATTCTTTACCATACACACAGAACCCTCAGTTGCTTGGTTTGTCTCATTGATAAATAATTTTTGCAGTGTTCACATGGAGGAAGTTAAAAGTTCTAGGCGCTAATCATGACGTCAGCGCTAGAAGAGAAAAATCGTGAAATTATCAACTATGCGATTAGTCACTTCACAGAGGCAAGTTAAACTAAGCTGTTTTGGAAAGTGTATCATACATACGTCAGCAATATTTATGCGTTTAAGGATTTCCTAAATACAGGCAGTGGGAATAATCGTTACTTAAAATTTTCATTTATTTTCAGTTCATTTGCAAAATTGTTATTTTATGATATCGATAAACAAGAATCTAAAAATTACACCCGAATTCATAAAAAAAAATATAAACCTACTTTAAATGCTTTGTAAATCGAATCTAATTTTAGCGACTAAATTCTTGATTTTTATAGAAAGATACTTTTAAGAGAATTACTTTTATTTTCTATACACTAAAGGTCATCGTCAGTCCAGAGTTTCTTGACTTTTCGCCAGAACTTCTTAATCAGATTTTAAGCGCTGATAACCTCCACATTGACTGTGAAGTGGATGTCTTTCAGGCTATCATTAGATGGTACGAACATGATAAGAATACACGTGCTACAAACCTTTCGTTACTAATGAGCTCCTTGAGGCTGGAGCATTTCGATGGCATATTTATAGACAAAATTATGAAACCTCTACCGGGTTGTGCACAGTTAGCAGAAAAGGCATTAAAATTGATCACAACATCAATGGATACCGGGGGCTATACAAAAGCGGAAAATGAACGGAAATATTGCGGATTGTTGATTTTAAACGATGTAAAAGTAAGTTGAAGAATTAAAAAAAAAATTATACCTAAGCAAGGCTAACTTGCAGAACATCTTGAGTTAAATACATAGTTCAGTCCTCCAACATTGAATACCCATGCAGAGTTGAGTAACCCGTGTTAAAATACTTCATTAACTTGTTTATTAAATTAACTTCGAATTACAGTCAACGTCAAAAATATGAATACATTGCCGTATTGAAAATTTTATTTATTTATATTTTTCAGACCAAATTTTTCTTATTTTTTATAAATATATAGTTCTGTCAACAGCAAAAATCAGCCGAATATATATTTTTTTATGTTATATAGATCTCGGGAAAATTCAATAAATATCAACAAATTTCCATCAAAATTTTCAACTTTTCAATTCGATTTCTTAGAGTATTTCGAGTGTTCAGATTTGTAGTACATAAAATTTTAACATAATAAGGTGCAAGTTTCAAGTCTCTAAAAATTACTGTTGATTTTTGATTTCTTCCATATAAAAAGAGGTTTTGTTTATGGAAGAAAATGCGCAACATTCTTGACGAAAAAGTATTTTTCTTTTGATGCAAATTTTTTGGTATTTCTTGAATTCTCCTAAGTCTATATGAAATTAAAAATATTGATTCTGCTGGTTTTTGCAGTTGAATGAGCTATATTAAAAAAAAAGAAATAATAATAATATTTTGGTATGGAAAGTATAAATAAATCATATATGTAATACTCCTATATTGGCAGTAAGAGCTAGTACCGTCCGAAAACACTACAGTACAGATATATCAATAAACACGTACGAAAGAAAAGAAACACATACGTTTATAAATAAACATGTACACGACACATTTACAAAAACGGCACTCAAGTACACAATACATTGACAAAAACGGAACTAGACCCTGCAAAAAATGGGACTAATCCGGGATGACTCCGGGAGCGATCGCAAATGGGCATGCGACTAATACCACTTTTGATCTCTTTATATGGAATGAACTGATCGCTTTTGTTCGAGCATGTCCTATGAAGAGACTAATTGTTCACCTTTATACCCGAACGGGTATAAAAAGCGACTAGTCACTTTTAAAAAATAAAAATTAAAATTTGCGCCAGCTGTGATTCGAACCGGGGTGCTCAGTTTTGTTAGGCGAATACTTTCTCTGTGTGCCAACGTCGCACATGAAATTTCATTGACTAAGTGCATACATATCATTAAATCGTTCATAGTACCCGTTAGAGATGAGTTGGGGACTAATTGATCTCCAATTATACCCATAAGGGATGAGTCGAGACTAATTGACCTCCATTAGTACCCGTATGAGACTAGTTGGGACTAATTAATGCCCAATTGTACCCGATTGAGAGTAATCTCGGAATACTCTCTTTAGAAATTAGTCGCACAATTTTTTGCAGGGGACTGTCTCGCTTTGATTTCGGAATGCTTACACATTGAGATGTTAGCTTACTACCAATATAGACGTATTACATATATGAAATAAATACAATTGTCAAAACGTCAGGGTTTTCATATTTTTAACGCTGACTGTATAAAACAGATGGCAACCCTCGTCAAATGTTTTTTTTAAATAAGCTTTCTTAAATATTTTGATTTAACTTGCTAATTAACCTGTTTTTTACATTTTTCAACAGGTAGCAACCATCAAAATTATTTTCGAAATAAATCGTTGTTGAGCCATTAATTGATTATAACTTTTGAAAAAGGTGGCAGCTCCCTTCAAATAATATCCTATATGTTAATCAAGGTTATAGCCTATCTGTGTGCCAAACAACATATCTACTCGCAAAGCTTCACATTTATAATTTGAGTGCATATTAGCAGGATTCCAAACCGGACTTATTTTGGTTTTAAAAAATGCACTGGCACGTTACAACAATTTTTAATTCCTGTAGAATGGACCATAAAAGCTCAAACAGTCAACGACGTAACGTAGACGTAGGTTGACGCAGAAACGATCTACTTTATGTGAATCGCGTGTTAACGAAAACTCACCACCGCATGGCGGTGACGTTGCCGTTGTTTCTCTCTCTCTCTATCAACAGTAAATTTGATATGCTGCTACGTACGTCAACCTACGTTTACGCTACGTCGTTGACTAACTGCGCTTTAAGCAGAGTTAAGAAGTTAGCCTTCAAAAATTGTCGAGTAGTTACCTAGTAGGCTAAAATCTAACCCTCGGCGTTGCAAACCAATTTGTCAATTTAACCAGTGTTTAAGTGGTCCTGAGCATATTAAATTTCTAATGCTCGTACATGTGTATATGTATGTTTACCATAGATTTTATATGTCTTATCTGCTGTCTAATTAATTTACATTTTATAGAAATTAAAATACATCCTTCGCTATAATTCAGCGCTGAAGAAATGGCAAAAATGCTTCGAACTTAAATTCAGAGACTACAGCTATGGATTGGTTTACTACGAGAGTAGTCTGTTCTTTATTGGTGGCCGCGGGCGAGGTGTCCAAAGAAACAATACTGTTAAACGATTTAATATGGAAACATTTACGTGGGTGGAAATGGCAAGCATGTCCAAGCGTCGTGATGATCTGTGTGTTGTGATGCTAAATGAAAAGATTTACGCTTTTGGTGGGCATGATGGTGGCGATCCTTTCAATACAGTTGTGATGTATGTACATACATATCGCTCAGAGACTGTCACAACTCAAAAAACGAAATTTTTGAACAAATGATGCAGAATTATTGTAAGCATTATTAACAGTATTTTTTTTTTTTAGGTTTGATATATGCACTAATCATTGGCAAGTACTGCCGGCAATGTCAGCTCACAGATATGGTGCCAGCGTTATCGCATACAAAGAAAAAATCTACATATTCGGTGGATTGGGCATTGACTGTCAGCCCTTGAGTACAGTTGAATGTTATGATCCAAAAACCAGCAGTTGGACGACATGCAGCAATATGAATGGGGCGCGCGGTTGGCCTGGCGTAAGTAAAAAATGAAAAAAAAAAAACGGTTTATAAAAATGGACTTATGTGTTTATGCTAAATTGCAGATTACCATATTAAATGAATTCATATTTCTGATTGGTGGCTACAATGAGGGCATGTTAAATACAGTGGAGCGCTACGACCCAAAACAGAATATATGGCTCGAGGTACGGTACATATGTACATAAATGACATTCTTATGCTTGTTTTTAATTTTTCAAATCCTCACCTGCTCGCAGGTCGCACCGTTAAGAGTAGCCCGCTTCGGCATCTGCGCCATCACTGTCGGCAAACGGATATGGGCGCTCGGCGGTCATGATGTGTATACGGTGGAAGAATATAATTTTGAAAATAATGAGTGGAACGAAAAACAGGCATTACCAATTTATGGTCTACACAGCTATGTGGAAGTGCCAAGTCAGCTGGTTGATAGAATGCAAAGTAAATTTTTGTGTAAATCACTTTAATTATATATTCAGCTTAATAAAAATTTATTTATTTAATTAGCAAATTGTGCAAAAGAAAAGGTGAACTGTGAACGGTTTTAGCTTATTAGCACGCATTGTGTGACGCGGACACGCATTGAGGCGATTTCATTTGTCCACCGAGGCCACTCGTCGATTTGGACTTTTTTATGAGGTTACTCGAGTGACCGTATTTATGAGAATAAATTTCACACTTTGAAAATCATCATTCGTCAAGTTATGGGCAAAATCACACCCTATATATGTATGTCGACATGTGGTCGAAAATGTCTCGAAAAAGACGAATGCTTAAACTCTCCTAAGTTACACACACATTAGCAAATTTTTACTTTTGTTCATTAATGAGAAAGTGTGATCTACTCCGATAGTCAGGCAGCCTTGAAAGCTTCAGAGAATGCAAAGTCCCTTAGTAAATTTCGAGAACATTATTGAAATTCTATTCATATGGTTTCATTTCTTAGAAATCGCAGCATCAAATTGATGAGTTAAACTCAAAACTCTTTATTTTACTTGTTTTTGATATTCTTAACACGGTCAAATGCGCCTAACGTTTTAAAAATTAAATTTTTAAGAGAAAAAAAATGTATTAACAATTTTGTCAGTATTTTGGTTATCTCCAAAAAAAAAAAAAAAAAAAAGCAGTTATGGAACTTTAAACTACTTTCTTTACAAAAACAAAAGACACCGTTATATGCATGATAAAAACATAACACGGTAAAACCATTGTTTGCCAACGATATAATTTTAAAATTCAAAACTCAAACTTCCACATACATTCTCATTTTCAATCTCAAACAATAACAATTGTGAACAATTTATTTTTTTTTATTTTCAATTTTATATGATTTTAAAATGTTGGTAAACGGTAGTTTTGAAACTCGGCAAATTCATACACCCTTTTAGCCCTATGAGCGAAGAAATTGTAAACAACTCTGGTAAGGTTTTCGAGTACTGTGAGATTTTTTACACGATTAGAAAAGTATCAAAATTTAAAAAGAAGTGTCCCTCTAACATTCATCGGAAAATGTATCACTTTTGTTCCACTTGGATCAAAACGGCAACGCTGATTGGCAGCCTTTGCCTGCAGCGAACATCATACATGTTGGTGACCAGTGTAGACAAACACTAGAAAGTTTCGTGAATGGCAGCACTGTTGCACTCCAATGGCTTTCCTTTGAGCCGGCGACGAACGAACACTTTATTCGAGCTAGCAACGCGTTGTGAACGGTTGTGTTGAGAATACTTGTGCGGTTTTATAAATAAGGCGGCTGCCAGCAAACCTGAGTTAAAGAAATAAATCAATGTAATGTTAACTTAATTTTACCCAGTTTTTTGCTTGTAAATAAATTGAGCCAAATTCAGTTTTCAATATAATAAAAATTAGCAAATAATCAACTCATAGGTATGAGGAGTTGTAGTTTTATTTTAAATAATTGTTGGTGTATTTAAAACCACAGGAAATTGTCAAGTGCGCTCCGTGTATCCTTTGTGTGGCTTGTAAATAAGAAAGTGCGTTAAATAGGGAGTGTGGGGGTAGAACTCTTCTTTTTTTTTTTTTGGTCTACGCACAGATGAATGCGCTGATGCTGTAATATTCGCCGCTGCCAGGAATAACGAAACCGCCCTTTTTACTTCTATAGCGCTCAGTAATAGTTGTTTTTTTTCTTGAAGGATACCTTGCAGGAACTTGATTTGTGATTTTGAAAAGCAAAAAATTAACTACATACAAAATTTTTTTTTTTTTTTGAACTTCAAAACATAAAAATTGTATCGATTACGGGATTTGGCTCATTTTAACATTAATTTTTCATATTATTCGGTGCGTGGTGTAAAAAAAAGGCAACAAATTTTTAACGCTTTTGTCCTGAAATTCTTTAGCACAGCGTAGTACATTATGCGCAACTGCGTTCAAACCAACTAGGGAAGAGAGCAAAACGCGTGAAAACGGTGGAACAGAAGAAAGGAATAATTTAAATTTTTCATGGTTTGAGTTATTTCACTCAGTGTACATTAGTTTTTGAAGCATAAGCGTCAAAAAAAAACGATAGCTATTGAAAAAAGTGCGGTAAAAGCTATAACTTAAAATATAAAAAGATCCAAAACTTGTGAGCGTGCAATATACATACATACATATATACAGATATAGTACATATTACATACAGCGCAAAAAAGATTGAAACATCGAACTAAAAAAGTGTTCCAAAAAGCCTCTGCAGCAACAAAACCAACGAAGTACATCCATCACAAACAGTTTCGGTTGAAAATTGTAAGTTTTTTAAATGGCTATTATAAATTAAATAAAAAAAAAAATTTATTTTAATGTAGGGCTTTAAAAAAATTTGCGAACAATTTGCAATACTATCTAGCCAATCCAGACATTTCAAAGCTTGGGGGGTTTAAGTTTAAACGTCTGTGGCTGTGGTCCAATTTCGATACTCCGCCCCCCACTAGCAGATTTTCAAGGCAAATATTGATATATATATTTTTGTTGTGAACGGCCGGCCCCGCAACCCTTCGTAACCACCTTAAATATGTACCTGCATTTGTATTCATACATGTATGCAATTATATATGTACATACATACATACTCATGTACCTACAGATGTATGTACATAACTTGCATTATTCTCTTCTGCTTTTCTTTCATCCCGTTGTCGGCTTGTTGATTTTGTGCGATAGTTTTTGTTTTTGCCTCAATTTACCAAGAGCTCCACAAGAAATGTTTGTATATTTGTCTATATCCATACATATGTACATACATACATACATACATATGTATGTTTGCAATTTTTGAACCGGCTTCTTCACCTTGGCATTGGTGGTGGATTAGTTAGTTATTCCAACTTGCGGCTGCCTGTTTGGCCAGTTGCTTGTTGGCGTTGCCATCTAAATTGTCTGGAACTTTGTATTTATTTATGTATGTATGTATGTACATAAAGGTTTATACATATATTTAACTAAGAAGGTTTCATTGCGGTATCATTTCAATTTACTATATGATTCATACAAAAGACTTCAACACTTTGTAAAAAGCACAATGAAATATGTATGTAAATTAGACCGTACCTGGAAGAAAGTTCGCCGTACAACCCTGGGTCTAAGTACTTTTGCAAGGGTATTAATGACAAAAAAATTGTTACATTCGGATCTTAAACTATAATGTATCGATGTTCTTGTCTCGGGCTAAAATTTTTTGTGTCAAAGCTCATTGACTTCAAGCACCCTCTTCTAGTACTTACCCGCCAGATCGCAGTTTCTTCCACTCTATCGTATCATCCTAATGTCGGTAAATTAAAGCTCGCAAAAAATTGTGAAACTTTTGCTAGGGAAGTATCTTGGATTCGAAAGCAATTTTTGTTGTGACTTCCGCATTAACGGTCGAATTTTAAAGTACATATTTTATATCGATGTTCTTGTCTATCTTCTAAAGTTCATTGACCTGAATACCCCGTTTTAGTACCCCCCCAGATCTAAGTTTTTATCACCCTAACGTATCACCCTAATGTCAGTAAACTAAAGCTCTCAAAAAATCATGAAACTTTTGCAAAAGAAATATATTTCGATTCGAAGGTAATTTCGATTTTTCTTTTGTTTTTCGCCGAACGCAGGGATCGCTTGCTTATATTTTTCGATGTATCTTCGACATTTACAGTCGAAGCTAGTACTCACCAGCTATCAGTTCTTATCATCCTAACATACAACCCTAATGTCAGTAAAGTAAAGTCCCCAAAAATCACTAAACTTTTGCTAAGGAAGTATTTTGTTTATTCCAGTATTTAAAACTACATATTAAAAAAACCAAAGAATGTAGGCGTCACCGAAAAATGTAAAATTACGACCTCTAGGTTTCCAAATTGCTTTGCAAAAATACTTTAGACTCGGGGATGTACAGTGGACTTTTTTTTGTTTGCTTGCAAAGTGGGATAGGTCTAATGTACATGATACATATCTACATAGCTAAACAATTAAAAAGCAACGAAAAATCTTTCCAATTAAAAGCTGTTTAATTTGCAATCGTTTGTCAGCGCAGAGACAAAAAAAAATATTTCGATCGATATAAAACATTTCATTTATGTACCTATGCACATACCGCTCGTTTACTAAAAGGCTGAAAGAGGAACGAGATTTTTATGAGACGAGTTTAAAGTTTTAAATTTGCTCGAAAAATGTAGAAATATGTAAATATATTTGACTAAATCGAGTAAAAGGTCTGAAATTTAAGCAAAATTAGTTTTTATTCAAACGTGCCCGGCAACTACAAAAGATTTTAGCACAAAATTTGTAGACAATGATGTGAAACATGATATAACGTGTTATTCTGCATCATTTGCTCAAACATTCCTTTTTTTTGAGTTATAAGTCTTTTAGTAAATGAGCATATCGCTCATGTACTGTATGTATGTACGCATAGCACACGTCCTTTAAAAGTATATCAACTCAGAATTTCTCGTTTGATAGCAAATACAAAAAACTATTTATGAGTTCAAGTTAATCGTATTGCGTTTTTTTTTATTGCAACAAAATATTGCTTTGGCTTCTAATGAAAGAAGAACGTTTTTATTGAATTACATGCATTTAAAATAAAAGTTTTTTTTTTTTTAAATTAATACATTCCTGAAGACTGTGTGCGATTGTACATATGTACATGCATTTCTAACCGAGCAGATGTGACAACTTGATCTGCCGCTGGTCTAAGCGTGATACATTGAAATGTCACAATTAGTTGTCCAACTACATTCTGTTTACCTGCAGTGCTGTTTTTTTTTTGTTTTAAATAGTTTGTATTAAGTTTTTACAGTTTGCGCTTTCTTGCTTTACTATGTATGAATTTACTGTGGCGTTTGTGTGTTGCACTTGTTTGTCTTTACATTGCATTTGCACTGGTTTCTTATTTTCCATTAGGTATGTATGCTTTTCCATACCTATACTGTCTTTCTGCGTGCGTCGATTTTCTTTTAATTAGTCTTGCACAATTGTTTTTGTAGACGCTCCAATTGCTGTGGTAATGAGAATTGCAGTGTCAATTACAATTCTCTGCAGCGCTGTGTGCAGATACGTATTTATGTACATACATATAAATAATGCTCTAAACAAATTGTAATTTCCAATGGCAAGATTGCATTAATTTATAAAAAACTGGATTTTATTCAGACTTGATGATGAGGCTAAGTTTTTATAAAATTTGTCTCCACAAATAGTCCGGTAAACCGTATATACATGTGTATGTGTGTATGTGTGTTAAAAGCAGAGTCATCATGGGAGGTGGCTTCAGGCTAAACTCCTACTTATCCAGACATACATACATACATACGTATGTATGTACATATTAGTGTTGGGAAGTATCGAGTACTTTTGAGGATCGAGTTCTTTAGTATCGATACTTTTAAGGATCGGGTAATTTTGAGAGTACTGAGTACTTTTTAAATATATGTACACATGTTGGTAACATTTCAATGCTTGTGGTGTAGAAATCTCATTAGCTGATAGCACTTTATTCAAAATAATATATTAATCCCAAATTACGTTA